ATTTAAACAAACCCCTAACTTTAAGAATTAAAGTACAGCATGAAACTTGTGCTGTTTGTACTCCAGACATGAATGATTCTTCAAATTATGTGTCTTGTTGAGGAGTGTGCTTTTAATTTACTAAATGATCCTACAAATTTAAATTCAAGGTTGGACTCGATCCATATCACAGAAGATCACAATATAAATATATTTTTATATAAAATTATATGAATTATATACACACACACACACAAACATATATATACTGTGTGTATATATATATATACTGTGTATATACTGTGTATATATATATATATATATATATGTGTGTGTGTGTGTGTGTGTGTGTGTGCGCGTGTCTGTAAACGTTTAATATATATTGTTTATTATTAATTATATATATATATATATATATATTGTAATTTCTATAGCTATACCATAGATCACAAAATAAGTATATAATTATTAAAAAATATATATTATATAAGTATAAATATAAAAAATCGTATATGTACACATGTAGAAATATTTTTATTTTTATATAAATATTTATATATATTATTTGTAATATATATATCAAACATACACAATATACAATTATATATATATATATATACAGCAAATCTGGATTTACCAAAGTATCCAAATTCCCTTCCTTGAAAGCTCCTCAAACACCACACCCCACGGCCAGAGCCGAAGGGAAGAAAGACAGAAGGAAAATTAGACATATGGGTTATGGAGGGGGGGGTTCGGCGTATGGGATGAGGGGGTATCTGTGGCCAGTGGCTTTCTTGAATGATTTGGATCCTGCACGCGTGCTGTGGTAAAGCCTTTGGCGTCTCATTGGTCTTCTCTGAAGCAGCGACCGCAAAGCACGAAACGTTGAACGATATTCAAAGCGTCCACTGACGGCTTTAATCAAAGCCACACGAGGCCTGTGTGAGCTCAGCTAAAGGCCTCAGATCCAGCCAGAATTCACCAGACTACTTCACAGAAAACCACAGAGCTCTGTTTCCCTCACTAAAGAGAGCAAACGGCCTTCCTGCATCACAGTACGACCTTCATACAGCAACACAGACACATAATGTGCCGTTGTGTCCCACAATTTTATGTCAACAATTTAAAATTCCTGCAACCAAAGCAAAACCTGCATCAATGAGCCTTCATCAAATTTAGCCTTTGTGCACTTAAGCTGTTGGTTCATCCAGTTCCAGGATGCATTTAGTATCGTCAGATCTGTTCGGAATTATGTGTTATTATGAGTGTGCATGTTCCCAATAAAACTTGACGTGATGATAATTAGATCTCCAGAAATAGCATTGCCTTCTTGATGATGAGCATGAAAGTCATCGCGGCAGATTTTGGGGTGTGGTCGTGGGGGGGTTTTCCCCCCATGTTTCCATCAGCATGACACCAGCCTCAACCTGCAGCAGACTCTTCCTATGGTGCGACCACACTGCTTCTAGTTAGCAGTAGTCTATAATTAATCATAATCACTGTACTGTGTGCCAGTGTTTCTTACAGGATCCTGTTTTGTGTACGTTACTATGGTTCCATCATGTCACTCACTCTACAGTATGACTAGTGGTGGCAGATATGACCAGTATGATATTACCGTATATATAATACAGTAGGTTTTTTTTTTTTTGCTTTTTTTTTTTGCTTGATATCCAACACAAAAATGTTTTCTGTATGACATTATATATTTAAAAAAAACATTGAGATAAATAAATACTTTATTTATTTATTTTACTTTTTAAAATCTTTTTTATTTGACCAAAAGATTCGATTCGATTAGATTAGAATGATTGATCGATCGATCGTTTTTCTCGTCTTTCTTAATCTTTTTTTTTGTTTGCCGAAATATTAGATTTGATTGAGTGATTCTTTATTTATTTAACATTTGAATTTAATATATTTTACTATTTTAATTATTTTAAATTTACGTTCGCTTTTTAAAAATTCTTTATTTGTCCAAAATATCAGATTATTCATAAGAAATGAATGATAAGTCTGACATCAGTGCAAAAACAGCTTTAAATGATGAAACATTTGAATTAAAATAAAAGACTCAAAGCTGTCAAACATTATAAACCTGATTGGATAAGCTCTGATCGATATATAGTTTGATTCAGACTGATTTATGAACCTTTTTAATAATAATAATTGAATGAATTCATTGAATTGAATTCAATGAGCTTCTCAAAGTGTGTTACATAGTAAATCACAACTATCACAATCATAACACAACTAGTAAAAATACATATAAACAAACAGTAAATAAGCATACATATCACAATCAACTAAAAGCAAACCAAAATAATGTTTCAGCTAAGATACCAAGTAACTTATTTTTGACAGATTCTTTCCACAAATGTCGTTCTTTACTAATCAGACATCATTTATTGTTTAAGATGTACGTTTTTATTGTCCAGTCTTTATATGCGGTGTCAGACATGCATTTATGCAACAAAATGTGTCTAAAATGTGATTTTATTATCAGATGAGTGCAGACATAATGATTGTAAAGGCCATGTTTTGTTCTTATTTTTATCGGAGTGTTGTTCAGTAGGTTAGTAGGGAGTTCTTGGTTATACAAGAAAGAAAAACTGACATACACAGCGATTCTCTCAAGCTTTATTTCCTTGTTTATGATAAACTACATGATGTGTTGCTTTGCATAAAGAAATGTTTTGACGTAATACGCCACCGCAGAGGCTTCATATTTCTTCTGATATTATAGTATCAATGCCGTATGGTAAAGGCTTCAGGTTCATATTCAAATCAGCCACAAACAAACCCGGCCGATGGCTATTGCTTTCATAAAAGAGCCCCTGATCTATCATTTGTTTTTCAAATGAGAACATCTCCCCTGGCCACATGAAAGCCTCATGTTATGCTTGCATGGGGGCCAATATCTCCATATGAATGCTGGCGTATTGTTCCAGACATGTTTGTTTTATTTTCAGATCTCCGTTCTCTTCTCCAGTTTACAAGTGTCAACAAAACGCCCACTTCTGATTAGCCTTTGATTGGAGAATGGAAGTGGACGTTACCTGGGCCCTGTTTATCAGCATGTCAATATTTACACTCAAACAAGAGTTTGTTTTACAGTCTGAGAAGTTTAACTACTTCCTCTTTTTACTGTCATGGATTTGAAATTAATTTTACACGTTTTCATGAACATCACATCAACCAGGCCGTGCTTTGGTATAGTTTTTCAGTGGCCAGACCAGTAGCCTTATCAAATAAATCATTGAGCATTAAATATTTATTTGATCTAAAAATATTTTATTATTTGAGAAGATAACTATTTCAACCAAGATTTTTGAATATAATTTATTATGTATATTATGTATAAAATCCAGTTTAATCCATTTAATTATTTTTTTTGTTTGTTTATTTGCTTACTTTTAATTGTACATATTTTTATCAATTTTATTTGTAATTATTTATTGCATTTGTTATGTAAGACTTTAAAGATGAGAAGCATTATTTAGCCTGGCAAATATTTGTGACTCTAAAAGGTTAATCTTCCCTTAAGGTGAAGGAAAAAAAAAAACATAGGGAGGTGACATTTAATCACAAATGAGCAGAAAAAAAATCATTTAGCAAATAAATGAGCATTAAATATTTATTAAATCTAAAATTATTTTATTATTTCAGAAGATTATTTTTTATTTAATTTTTTTCAGGAATTATACCCAGAAATGTTTCTGGGTTGGATTTCTGAATTTTGTTGAAAATAAAAATTTTATTGCACATGTTTTGAAAATCCAGTTTAATCTTTGTAATACTTTTAATTGTACATATTTTATTTTTTAGCTATTTTATTCATTTATTTACATTTTTTTAATTGTGACCCTGGAGCACAAAAGCAGTGTTAAGTCGCTGGTGCTTACTTTTAATTGTACATATTTTTATCAATTTTATTTGTAATTATTTATTGCATTTGTTATGTAAGACTTTAAAGATGAGAAGCATTATTTAGCCTGGCAAATATTTGTGACTCTAAAAGGTTAATCTTCCCTTAAGGTGAAGGAAAAAAAAAAACATAGGGAGGTGACATTTAATCACAAATGAGCAGAAAAAAAATCATTTAGCAAATAAATGAGCATTAAATATTTATTAAATCTAAAATTATTTTATTATTTCAGAAGATTATTTTTTATTTAATTTTTTTCAGGAATTATACCCAGAAATGTTTCTGGGTTGGATTTCTGAATTTTGTTGAAAATAAAAATTTTATTGCATATGTTTTGAAAATCCAGTTTAATCTTTGTAATACTTTTAATTGTACATATTTTATTTTTTAGCTATTTTATTCATTTATTTAAATTTTTTTAATTGTGACCCTGGAGCACAAAAGCAGTGTTAAGTCGCTGGGGTATATTTGTAGCAATAGCCAAAAAACATTGTATGGGTCAAAATTATCAATTTTTTTTAATGCCAAAAATCATTAGAATATCAAGTAAAGGTCATGTTCTATGAAGATATTTTGTAAATTTCCTACCGTAAATATATCAAAACTTAATTTTTGATTAGTAATATGCATGGCTAAGAACTTCATTTGGACAACTTTAAAGATGATTTTCTCAATATTTAGATTTTTTTGCACCTTCAGATTCCAGATTCTCAAATAGTTGTATCTCGACCAAATATTGTCCGATCCTAACAAACCATACATCAATGGAAAGATTATTTATTTGAAAAACATTTGACTCTTATGGCTGGTTTTGTGGTCCAGGGTCACAAAATTTGAAAGAAGTATTAATTAAATATATAAAAATATATATAAATATTAAATGTTTTATGTTATCATTGAAACACTGCTATACAATTTTGACTCAAAGTGCATGAAAAAAATATTTGAAAACAGAAATGGTTTATTATCCCTCAACATTGCAGTTAACGTTGATGTTAGAAATGACGCGAGAGGAAGCTCCTGCTTCTGATATATGCAAAATATCATCTGAATTATATCTGTCTATCAATACTTGATGAGATATTGTCGACAGATACACCACACAGGAGCCGGTCTCCTGCTCTCATGAGTCATCGGAGCACACTGCCGCTCTGCCGTATGATTTTACCAGGTACAAGGTGAGCTGTGAAAACACAGTCGTTCTCCAAGGCCTGCATCCTCCATCAGCAGATGACGGCGCTCCTGCCCCCATCTCTCCCTCTCAGTAATGAGCCGTGATTGGCTGTGTGGAGGGGCACGAGCAGCACCGATTATAGGAGCAGTCCCATATTTGGAAGGTGTTGAGCAGCCCAGCATCTTTCTCACGGCTCAGAAGAGCACAGCCAAGCCATGTCTGCCAGCCTCCGCACCTCCATCGCACCTCCACCTGATCCCCAGATGCAGTTTTTAGACTGAGCCCACAGAAGCATTTGCGTGGCATTGTCTGAAGGATTTAGGAGTGGTTCTTTTAGGAGTGGTTCGTTTCTTGCTTTTGCGTGTTTTGGAGCTTTAACAAAGATGCCTGAAGCAAATTATGTACGCTCGGTCTCATGGGGATATATAAAGGTATGGAAGCATGGTTTCTCTGAAGCTGATTTTATGTATCTGTAGTCTTGGATGTACGGGGATCCTTATTTAGTAGCTGAGAAGTAGCAAAATGCAAACAATCAATTTTGGCCTCTATGCATTTACTTATCTTTTATTCATTGAGGGTTTTGTGTCGTCATGAATTGATATATTCAAATAATGTGTGGTACAACACATGTAAATTATATGCAAATTAGCAGAGATGAATATTTTATGGTTTGGTGTGAGAAAAACCTTTCTGGAGTTTTATTTAATCAGGTTTGAAGGCTTTGGGTTGATCTAAATTGCTATATACAGATATTTTCAGTGTTAATGGTGTGTTGTTGTAAATCAGTGCATTTGTTATGTAAGACAGTAAAGATGAAAAGTATTTTTAGGGCTGGCAAATATGTGATTAAACGATTCATCCTCCTTTAGAGTAAATCCGTCAAAAACATACTGAGGGATAGTTTCTTCACAAATTAAAGGGAAAAAAATTATAAATTATGTTTTGCAGGAAGAAAATAAAGCCTATTTAGCACTATTATATCATTGTAATTGTTATTATTATTATGAAAATAATATATATATATATTTTAATTTTTTTTAATGAAATATTATATTTATATATAATAAAATATAATAATTGTAAATATTCTCTCTTTTAATTCTTAATTATTCATGATGGGATTACAAATATGAGCTTATGAATTCATGAAATGTGCCTGATTTTTAGATATGGCTATTTTTAGATCTAGTCTGGTTTTATTTGAAGGGTCTGAGGGCGTCTGTTCTCACACTGATTAGAATAGAAGGTTACAGCTGATTGATTTTAAAATTCAGTTGATTGATTAATTTATTCATTGTCTTTGTGTCACCCAATCATGACGCATTACCATGACTGATTAAAACTTTTGTCCTGTCTATCTCTCTCTCTCTATCTATCTATCTCTCTCTCTATCTCTCTCTCTCTATCGCGCTATCTCTATCTATCTCTCTCTCTCTATCTATCTCTCTCTATATTTCTCTCTCTCTCTCTCTATCTATCTCTCTCTATATCTATCTCTCTCTCTATCTATCTATCACTCTCTATATCTATCTATCTCTCTCTCTCTCTCTCTCTCTATCTCTCTCTCTCTCTATCTATCTCTCTCTATATCTATCTCTCTCTCTATCTATCTATCTCTCTCTATATCTATCTATCTATCTCTCTCTCTCTCTCTCTCTCTCTCTCTCTCTCTCTCTATCTATCTCTCTCTCTGTGCAGTTCAAGCGGATGTTGAACAGGGAGTTAACGCACCTGTCTGAGATGAGCAGATCTGGTAACCAGGTCTCCGAGTACATCTCCAGCACATTTTTAGGTAAACCATCAATCACAAAACTGTCACACATTTGACTTGTGAGTGTTATGGTGAGGTTTGGAGCTCCAGCTCGTGTTCACGCTCTCCTCCTCATTGTTTCTCCAGACAAACAGCACGATGTGGAAATGCCCTCCCCGCAGACGCAGAAGGAGAAGGAGAAGAAGAAAAAGCCCATGTGTCAGATCAGTGGGGTGAAAAAACTCATGCACAGCACCAGCCTCACCAATTCCAACATCCCTCGCTTCGGGGTCAAGACGGAAACGGAAGACTCCTTAGCCAAGGTGAGCGGCGGTGATGCAGGACAGGCTTATTTGTGCTGGAGAGATGCTTCAAACTCAGACAGAACCTCAATCATCTCAACTGAACGCTGATTGGATCTGATCAGAGACTCTTGTAGACCTTGACGAAAGGTCATTGGAGCTTTTCAGTCCGATGACGTAGATGGATGACATGCAGTTGGAAAGATTTTGTACCCTGCTGAAAAGAGCAGCTTGGAGCAGCTTGAGTTTCCATGCTAGTTAGTGTCATGCTGTTCACCAGGAAGCTTGTCGACCGGCAGGTTTTTTAACCGAGAGCATATTGCTGGTTAAGCTAGTGTTCATCAACACATTGATTGATTGATTGATGAATGCATTCAGAAACACAACAAGCGCTGCTCTTTTCAGCAGGTCAATTTCCTCAAATTCATTGGTTATTTGTAAAACGAGTCCTGAATCATTCCAGAACATTTTGTGGCTGTTTTAAAAGCCAAACCAACATTTATTATAGTTATGCATGTTGCAAATGGGTTTAGTCAAGTCACATTCATTTATATAGCACTTTATAATATACAAATTGTTTCAAAGCAGCTTCCCAGTAATAAACAAGAAAATAACAGTATTAGTTCTTCAATTATGAAACAAATACAAATGCAGCTGTACAGCAACCCTAAAAAAAGACAGTAGTGTCATTATTCAGCTCAGTTTAGTTCAGTAACTGAATGCTGCAAAGCTATGAAGGAAACAAACTATAAAGCAGCTCTACTGAAGACAATAGTGTCGTTATTCAGTTCAGTATTGATCCAAAATAGTGTCAGTGTTGCAGAGGTCAATTATGAAGCAAACTCAATTCAGCTATAAAGCGGCTCTACAGAACAACATTGCCATTGTTCAACTCAATTTAGTTCAGCGTTGATTTTTAGTTTATAAAAGTGTAAAGTTTATGAAATTTTGAAAAAAGTTTAATTCAGCTATGAGCAGCTCTACTGAAGACAACCGTCATTTATAATGATGCACTGAAAGAAAAATTCTGGGCCAAAAATGATTTTTTTAAACTTATTTTAAAATAGTTTTTGCGTAATTGTATTAATATTAATTATTAATGCACTTAAATGTTTTTTGTTTTTTTTTCAACCGAAAATGAAATTGGAGTTTTTTTTATTTAGCAGAAAACTGAAGCTGAAAGTAAATTGTATTTATCAATTTTATTTAATAATAAATAAGTTGTAAAAACATTTAAATTGCACATAAAGAGCTTTTGTCAACTTTTCAATTACAGAATTTATGTTTTATGTTTTTAGCAAGCCGAAAATTGCTATTTCGGCCAAAACGTTTTGGTTGTCAAAATTTTGGTACTCCAATTTTTTTGGAGTGAAGTGGCATCACACGCAACGGGACTGTCTAATGATTGGCTGCTGTGTTTCAGGAACTGGAGGACATAAACAAATGGGGCCTTAATGTTTTTAAAGTCACAGAGTTTTCAGGCAACAGGCCTTTAACGGTGATGATGTACACTATATTTCAGGTGAGCCCAAACATTCACCACTCTGAATTTCTCTTTATTTACTTAACTAATAAAAGTCTTACTGTGCACAATTCATCAGTGTTTGTTTTCATAACTTTCTTCACCTCTGATGTAACTAAGGTCACATGGACAGGGAAAAACAGCTTTCACCAATAATATCATAGCCTACTTTATATGATCTAATGAAATCCTGTATTATTTAACATGCTGTGTCACATTATGTTAAATGTGTTGCAAATGCTGACACGTTTTGATGACACTTTCTGTTTTTCTCTCCCACAGGAAAGGGATTTACTCAAAACATTTAAAATTCCCTTGGACACTTTCATAACGTACCTGATGACCTTAGAAGACCATTATCATGCTGATGTTGCGTATCACAATAACATTCATGCTGCTGACGTCACCCAGTCCACACACGTGCTGCTCTCCATGCCTGCTCTGGAGGTGAGAGATGCCGTCAAAACAAGGGTTTCCTTGCCGTTTTAAAAATAAAAGAACATTTGTGACCCTGGACCACAAAACCAGTCTTAAGTGTCAATTTTTCGAAACTGAGATGTAGACATCATCTGAAAGCTTTCCATTGATGTATGGTTTGTTAGGATAGAACAATATTTGGCCGAGATACAACTATTTGAAAATCTGGAATCTGAAGGTGCAAAAAAATCTAAATATTGAGAAAATCATCTTTAAAGTTGTCCAAATGAAGTTCTTAGCAATGCATATTACTAATCAAAAATTAAGTTTTGATATATTTATGGCAAAATATCTTCATGGAACGTGATCTTTACTTAATATCCTAATGATTTTTGGCATAAAAGAAAAATCTATAATTCTGACCCATACAATGTTTTTTGGACTGTTGCTACAAATATACCCCAGCGACTTAAGACTGCTTTTGTGCTCCAGGGTCACATTTATGGAATAGGCGGTGGAAAATGGACACGCAACAGCTAAATTATGAGTTTTTTGATGTAACTAACCTTGACTAAGGTTATAAGTCGATTACAGGTCAAAAGCGTAGCACATGTGCCATTTTTTTCACATTTGATTCAATATGACCTGGTGTGCTACTTGCTGGATTTCTAAAAAGGTTATGTGGTGAAGATAATGTCTGCTCTCACTCACCGTACATCCACATGTTGTTCTCTTTCAGGCGGTTTTCACAGATCTTGAAATTCTCGCTGCCATTTTCGCCAGTGCTATTCACGACGTAGACCACCCGGGTGTCTCCAACCAGTTCCTTATTAACACTAGTAAGTGTGCTTTAGGAATATATGGTTTATTCAAAGCATATGATAACTAATACTAAAATTAACAAAACATTTGTGATGTGTTCGGTTGTTATTGGATCATGCCATAGAAAATAATAATAATAGTAAAGCTTTTCATTTTAGATGATTAAAAAAATATGTCTGCAGTCATGCTTTTGGTGTACATTTTTTAAGTTTAATTACCTAATTATTACAATTTGGTAAAAAATAATATAATTACAAAATGTGTAAACATAATAATCTCATTAAGTGTGAAAATCTAATCCTCTATTATAATTGTTTAAATTTCTATAATGTAGTTATTGAAATGTACAAATATTATCTCATCGTTTAAATGTATGAATACCGTAATCTCAATTTTAATTGTCTAAATATAATAATTTCTTTATTTACATTTCTATAATCTAATTATTTAAATGTACAAATATAATTGTCATATTTAAATTAATAAATCAAATAATATTATTATTTAAATGTACAAATAAAATAAACTAATTTAAATGTGTAAATATAATAACCTAATTGTTTAAATGTATTAATAATCTCTTTATTTAAATGTCTAAACATAGCAATCTAATTATGTCAATTTTTAAATATAGTCTGATAATTTACATTTCTAAATATAATAATCAAATTACTTAAATGTCTAACTATAATAATGTAATTTTGTCAATTTCACAGTTTGGTTCAAAAAAATAATAGTTATGAATGTTATGATGACTATTGTAATTAAGCCATAAGGTAAGAGCACAAATTTTAATTACAACATAATTTTATTAAGAAAATTCATCAAGTTATTCTTCCTCTACAAGATCTAAAACTAGAATGCATTATTTGACCAATCAGCATCCAGAACGGGCACTATCCATTTGATAAATACAATATATGTATTTAAACACCTAAAAATGCCCTGAATGGCAGCTCAGGAGGTTTGTATTATAATGGACGGATCTATAAATTCAGTGAAATGGTTCAGAGCAGATCACTCAATCCCATCAGCTCAGAGACACACAGACCAGCACACATCTGTCCTCAAATCCACGCAACCGCCGCTTACATAACTTTATTTTGTCATAAGCAGCACTGATGCGCCGATAGGACAGATAAATGCGACTCAGGCCTCATGGGATTGTGTGTCTGTCTCTCCTGCGTCACGCTGTAATCTCTCACAGACAGTGATGGAGTCCTGCTGCTGTGCTGACACAGCTGTTTGTCATGCTCATCTACAGATTAGCACAAGGTCACAGAGTTTGCCATGTTTTCTTCATGTTTGCAGACTCGGAGTTAGCCCTCATGTACAATGACTCGTCGGTGCTGGAAAACCATCATCTGGCAGTGGGCTTCAAACTCCTGCAGGAGGAGAACTGTGACATCTTCCAGAACCTGACCAAAAAACAGAGACAATCGCTGCGCAAGATGGTCATCGACATCGTACGTCCCGCTCAAATGACATTTAGCATTGATGATGTTCGTTCAGAGTTCTGGCTCAAGGTTTTCTTGCACATTTCTCCAAGGTTTTGGCGACTGATATGTCCAAACACATGAACCTGCTGGCCGATCTGAAGACCATGGTCGAGACCAAGAAGGTCACCAGTTCTGGAGTCTTGCTCTTAGATAACTACTCAGACAGGATTCAAGTGAGTCTTTTAAGCTTATATGGGTCATTTTTGACTTTCTGTAAACTAAGGCTGCCAAAATGGCTGAAAAACTAAATTACTTAAATATTATCAATATTTGAATTTAAAAGGCATAGTTTCAGTTAGGGGGGAAAAAAGCTTTTGGCTTCTCTCCTGAGGCCACAAGAGCATGGCGCATCGAGCAAAATAGTATGCACATTTCTTCAAAGCATAATAAAATAACACGACTATCTTTGAAAAAATGTTTAAAATAATGTTTATAAACCATATATAATTAATAAAGTTGCTTAAACAATTAGAAATAAAACAGCATCATGCATGTATGTACAGTTTAATACAAAGGACCGGAAAAAACAATCACAAAGAGTACTTTCTTCATTTAAAAACTTGAGATGCAATGGGATGGGGAAAAGTCTTGTGGCATGTTTTTAAAAAGTTGAACTTACATTAATTTTACATAGCTTTCTAAACATCTCTCTTGTGCGAACGCGAGTGCGACGCTGATAAACGTCCCTCTAGAAAATGCAATAAATACGCGATATCTGTGTGAACGGCTTGGTTTCGGTTTTGACCAAGAGGCAACCTTCCAGTCTCTCTCGTGAAACCAACACGGATCAATTCATCGACTGGCCGCTAGAGGCGGGCTCCAAAAGGGAGTCAGTCGCATAGACTCCCCATGTTAAAATGCCCAACTTTACAGCAGAAAAAAAAATGTTTACAGCCTGGTACAAAAAGTGGTTTTGGTCTATATAGCAAATTTTGCCCTTCATGACAACTGTGAGGGGGGTGAATTTTTTTATAACTCATCCGTTTATATTATATTAAGCCTTAAATAATTAAGGGCGTGGCCACTTGAGTGACAGGTGGATTGCCCCTGCTGTCACCACTGTCGAGCTAGGTGGGCGTGGTTTCAGCAAACATTTCCCGCCTCTTTACCCATTTTCGATTATCCGGGAGTGACGCGCTGCCAAGATGTCGACAACCGGCTCCGCCCACTTTGAGCTTCAAAAACCCCCCAAAAATTATTTTAAATTCAACGAATATTCGAAATTCAAAATTTTTTTTGCAGCCCTACTGTAAACTGTGGCTCTATCAAAACATTGCTGAGTTTGTTCGAGCGGCCCAACACAGCCACTTCTGGCTCAGCCAATGGCGTGAATTGAGGGGCGGGACTGTGTGTTTTGTTGACCAGTGGTGTTTAAGAAACCCATTTGATTGTTATCATTTATTTGTTTAATCACAGTACTTTGGAAATTCATAGAACTTCTAAAACTACATAGTGAGATATTAAATAATATTTATGAGAATTACTTTCAAATCAACGTTTTTTAAGACCATTTATTTCGTTGTTCATAAATGTAAAAAGCTACATTTGACACTTTTTAAAAAAAACTTTTCTACATTTGACACATTATTTAAATTGTAAATTAAGAATACATTGGACATTCATAGAACTTCATAAACTTCAATGATTTAAATAATAAATCATTTGATAAAGAAGAGCGTTTTGTTTTGTTTTATTCATGCAGATTTGTTTATATAAATTTCTCAGCTGCATCTGATACACATGATTTAAATGGTAAATTAAGTAGAAACTATAAATTCATAGAACTTCAATAACTATCTAATGGGATAAAGTCATTTTTATTATTTATTTTTATTATGATACTGATTTGTTGTAAATATAAGATTATATTATATTAATGAATATATCATTTTTTAATAAGTTTGGTATTCAGTGTTTTTATGATGATATTTATTTGTAAATATTAGATGTCATTTTCTCAGCTCCATCGGACTCATTTTACATGAATTAAAGTGTAAATTAAGAATTAATTGGAAACTTATAGATCTTAACTGTCTAATGTGATACTCATTTGACTCATTTTACGTGATTTAAATGCTAAATTATGCAGAAATTGTAAATTCATAGAACTTCAATAATGATCTAATGGGGTATTACATAAGTTTAACATTTTAAACTTAGTTTAACATTTTAATACTTTACATCATTATTTACATTTTTTAATGATTTTTTTTTTTTATTATGATACTGATTTGTTTTAATTATACGATGTAATTTTCTCGGCTGCATCTGACACGTACAATATTTCAATTGTGATTTAACACTGGATTTTCAGTTGAAGCATGTGTTGATGTTCCTCAGGTGCTTCAGAACATGGTTCACTGTGCGGATCTCAGTAACCCCACCAAACCCCTGCAGCTGTACAGACAGTGGACGGACCGCATCATGGAGGAGTTCTTCATTCAGGGCGACCGAGAGAGAGAGCGAGGGATGGAGATCAGCCCCATGTGTGACAAACACAACGCCTCTGTAGAGAAGTCTCAGGTAGGCTCATCCATTCCAGAAGGAACTATGGAAGCCTGTTTCTACCTCAGAGTCAAAATATTTATTTGACATTTTATCTCACAATTAACTGTTTAATTAATTGTGAGATAAAGTGTAAAATAAAAAAATTATGTTGCATTAGTTTTTGTATGTATATATATATATATATGTGTGTGTGTGTGTGTGTGTGTGTGTGTATATATATATATATATAAATATTTTTATATTTCTTATTAGCTTCAATTTATTTTTATTTTAGTTTTTGTACTTTAACTTCCATTTTTTAATTTATATTTTTGTATAATTTTTTTATACAGATATAATATATAAAATACAGATATTTTTCATAGATTTTGTATTTATTATTTTTATTGCCAAGGCAACATTTCTATTTTTTCATCTAATATTTCTATTTTATTTCAGCTTTATTATTAATGAAAATGATTTTTAATAATTTCAGTTTAAGTTAATTTATTTTCAAATCAGTATTTTTATTAACTAAAACTGAAATTATTAAAAATCATTTTATAATCATTAATAATAATGCTGAAATAAAATAGAAACATTATAATTTTTTAACCTAAAGAAAAGCAAAATTAGAAATGTTGCTTTGGCAACTAAGTGAAATAAGTTCAAGAAATAAATCTATTTTTGAATCTAAATTTCAATTAGTTGCCAATGCAACATTTCTAATGTTGCTTTTCTTTAGGTTAAAAAAATGTGAATATTTCTATTTTATTTCAGCTTTATTATTGATTAAAATGATTTTTAATAATTTCTGTTTTAGTTGATAAAAATACTGATTTGAAAATAAATGAAGAAATAAAACTGAATTATTTATTTATTTAACTTATTTCAAAGCAACATTTCTAATTATGGTTTTCTTTAGGTTAAGAAATTCTAATATTTCTATTTTATTTCAGCTTTATTTCAATTAATGAAAATGTTCTAGTTAACAATGAAAACACTGCTTTGTCAATGAAAAAATAATTTAAACTGCAAATACAGTATTCTATTTAGCAATTAATACTATAGAAATATGAATAAAATTAAATCAATCATCAACATTCCTCAATTTCTCGTTGTATGCGAGTGTAATTCACATGGCCGTCTCTGTGTCTCCAGGTGGGCTTCATTGACTACATCATGCACCCGCTGTGGGAGACGTGGGCCGACCTCGTACACCCAGATGCCCAGGACATCCTGGACACGTTAGAGGACAACAGAGAGTGGTACCAGAGCACCATCCCACAGAGCCCGTCGCCCGCTCCCGACCAGCCCGAGGAGGGCAGCCGCTCCGCCGGAGCAGACAAGTTCCAGTTTGAACTGACGCTGGAGGAGGACGGAGAATCAGACACGGAGAAAGACAGCGGCAGCCAGGCGGAGGAGGAGGAGGATGAAGAAGAGGAGGAGGACAACAGCTGTAGTGATTCTAAAACTCTCATCACACAGGACTCGGAATGCACAGAGATTCCAGAGGCGGAGGAGGGAATTTCAGAGGAGGTTTCCACGGAACCTAGCATGGTGGAGGAGGAGGAGGAAGAAGAGGAGGACGATGAAGAAGACGAGGAGGAGCAGCCGGCAGACACGTAGCAGCGCGTCTGGACGGCCTGAACTCGCTGCCATGATGGCAAAAAATGCAAATATTTAATAACAGACAATGAAATTGAGTTCCAAAGCGCACGTTGCACTCCGAGACCTCGGCCACTCCTCTCTCGCTCTCTTTTCCATCTCTCTACGAGCTGCCTGGAGACGAGAGGACACTAAGACTTCGGTAGGTTGTCGTTTTATTTGCACTCAGGAATAATATTTAGTCCTCTGTTTTTTCAATCTTGCTTTTGTTTGCCTTCGCCCTCCTCCTCCTCCTCCTCCTCTGTGATTCTCTGTGGACGACAGTGAGGAAATTCCCCGCACACAGCAATGGGAGGAGAGACGTCAGCGGGATCGACGCAGGAACGTGTCTCCTTGGATTTCAAAGAGATCGTATTTTCTACGTTTTAAGTCTTCCTAAATGTCACAAAAGACAAAAAAACAAACATGGCCTCTTCAATGATTTTGTACGGTATACATACAGATTTTTACATAGTTACTTTTTAAATAACAAAACAGCAGCTGTTGTGTTTTTGAGGAAACTTTGCGCGAAGGGTAACTTGCAAGTACGCGACGTGGGTCGTGTGTTCGCCACCATATACACATCAGAAGCTGTATTTACGTTGTTTTTTTACTTCGTCAAACACTTTACCTCTAATGAGTCTCTTAATACACCTACAGATGCTTGATGTGTGTTCAACTCATTTCTGGGGGGTTTTCTGTCTTGTTTCGGAGCAGTTATTTCAGCAACACTGCACTTGAAGCCTGTAATA